GGGGTCTCACCAGAGCAGAGCAGAGGGGCAGAATCACCTCCCTCAACTTGCTGGCCACGCTGCTTTGGATGCAGCCCGGGATATGATTGGCCTTTTGGCCTGCAAGCGCACATTGCTGGCTCATGTCCAGCTTTTCATCCACCAGTACCCCAAGTCCTTCTCGGTAGGGCTGCTCTCAAACCCTTCATCCCCCACCCTGTATTGATACTGGGGGTTGCCCCGACCCAGGTGCAGTACCTTGCACTTGGCCTTGTTAAACCTCATGAGGTTCAAGAGGAGGCATACTTCTTACATCTGGTAGAAGCAGTAGAGTATATCCTATGGAAAACAGTATCTCTTAACCGTTTGGAATATTGGACTCTGATTTTCTTTGAAACTTAGAAAATAAAAATAGGAAATATAAAGTCCTATTATGTTGCCTCTGAATTTAGAATAAGAATATCCCTGGCTGTTTTCCCATGCTACTGTGAAACTTACATAATTATGTGTGTCCGTTACCTTTGATGTTGTAATTTCTTCTAATAATTGTTATTACTGTAGGAGAAGCTCTGGTGATCAGTCTACAAATCTATACCTGGCCATAAAAGTGATGTCTGCTATTTTTTTGTGTACGTGTTTAAATTCAAGTAAAAATTACACGAGTTCTACTGCTAACTTAACTGAATGTCTGCGTGACAGATGTTTATTGAAAGTCTTAAATAACATATAAACAGTGCCCTCAATGTTAATTTTTTGGTTTGCAAAAGTAGCTTGTTGGATTTGATGGATTTTTTTTTTTTTAGAAATTAATCCAGCAAAAAAATTTCAGTGTAACTCTAGTCACAAACCCATACAGCAGAATCACTAATTTCTCTATCACTGTGACTGGCTTGTTTGAACAGCCTAGATATACTAATCACAATTTAAAATCTTCTAAAAATTTTGACTTGGTTTATTGCTGTCTACTTTTTTTTTTTTTAAACTTCAGCTGGTATGATATTCTGAAGAAAAATCTTCCTCTTTTAAACATACATAATGTTTTGGCTGAATCTTAAGATACTAGTTTTTCACACTAGTTCTTTTTGCAATTTACAATCTTATTTTTTCTTCCTGTATTCAGTTTCTCATTTGTTTAATGGACACTGAGAAAATGCAATCTTTTCACTTGGGAAAACACAATTCAAAAAAATTAACTGAGTTGACAGAGTTCCAAAGAACATATGTGCCAAGTTATGTAGTGATCTATTCAGCTATTAAGGGCAAACATAGTATATTATAATGAGAAAAATAATTTTAAGTACTTCTGAAATATGCATATAATCAATAGCCAAAACACAAATTACCATTCATCAATGCAGCTAGCACTACAATATTAGACAGCATTTATGGAATAAAGTGTCAACACACAGAAGTTAGTAAATTTTACTCACGTGGAACTGCAACACCATAATCCTGTGGGTTCTCTGACACAACCTTCTGCTTGAGCTCACTTAATTTGGCCCCCAAACAACCTAATAAAATAGAACTGACTGACAGATTTCTGTGTGGAATGAAATACTGCAAAGAGAATAAATAATATAAATTTCACACAAATAATAAGATACAGGAGCGTGCTTGAAGAAACCTGTACATGAGAGACCTCATGACCTGCCACATTCTGCTTTGAAGAATATCATCAGGAACAAACTGAATCCTTGAACAGCTGTTGGACAAACATTTGTCAGGCACTAAGTCAGAAAATCTGTAATCTTAGCAGCCAGTTTTATGAGATACCCTTGATTTCTATGACATCCTCGGAAACTGGCTTAACACAAAGCTGTTAAGCACACTGAATTAAAATTGCTGCAAAATTTTGTTAGATAATTCTAACATCTACCTTTTCATCAATTGTTCTGACAGCATATGTATGCACATGTTTGAGTGAGAACCAATGGAAAGTGAATCAGAAAAATGAGAAATGGTCCTGCATCATTATTTTTAGAAGGATTTGGCGAGTTTGGATGTTTTGGGGGGTTTGTTTGTTTTTTTTTAAATGTTATTTAAAAGAAGAGAACAACTTCTGACCAAAACCAGAAAAACCTTTAAAAAAACCCACCAGAACCACAAAAACCAAAACTCAACACCTAAAGAAAGTCTCTTGGAGTGCAGGTGATAAGGAAAGAGGGAGATACACAATTAGTTCAAAATTTTTCACGTATCTTACCAATCAAAACCACCAGCCTCTGCTGTTCACCAGGCTGCTGCTGATATTTTGTGACTTCTTCGTATGTTAGGAACTCTACTGCATCTGCCTGCTCTGCTTGCTTTCCTTCATTCAGATTGTTCTCCTCTTTACGACTTAATCTAAAGCTCCTGCGTAAGCCAGCTGTAGAGGAAAACAAAAGATATATTAAATCATGTCTCCACTTATCTAAATTTTCAAGCTTGTTCAGCTAGAAATTACTCTGCCTTTGAATACGAGTTACTCTCACAATTTTTTTTTTAATAATCAAATCAGTGCACATATGCTGATCTTATAGATGAAAAATTTGCATATCAGGTAGAAAACCAAGCACCCAATCTATAATAAAACCCCCTTCATATCACATTGAGTTGCCAAGTGTTGGCTATGCCAAAGTCCAATTATGCCTCTGCACAAAGATAATCTAGTTTATGAATGTATGGGAAATTAAGTCTAATATAAATAAGCTAGTTTTTCTTTTTTAATGTGGGGGTGCTTTGGGTTTGTTTTTTTTTTTGCGGGGGGGGGGGGGGGGGGGGTGTTAGGGAAGAGGAAAGGGATTTTGGTTTCTCACCTATGTACTGTCCGTTGAAATATCCTTCACAGTCACAGTCTTCTGTAAATTAAAAAGCGGGGGGGAGGGTGAATAAGGGCACAGGGGAGAGGAGAGTGAGAGGGGAGGAGGGAGACATCTTAAACAGTGCCTGTGATATGAGTCTGGCTCATTGGTGAGAGAAGGAGAAGTTTTATATCCTGCATTATATGCACACACTTTTCTAACACAATGATACAAAAAATTATTTGCCTTGGCTAGTGGTTTATATTTTAAGAAATCCTTGATGTCAATATTGCACAAGAGAATTTTACATGTTGGTATTTATGGTTCCCAGAATTTATGCTCTTCAGCATTCATTACATTTGATCAGTGCTGTTGCTAAAAGTGTAATATCCAGACCTAAGTAAAAAAGAAGACTCTGCAAATACAGAGCTCTTTTTTTAATGTATGACTTTATAAATGGGTATGATTGTGTAAGAATATTGCCTCTTCTGACATTTCAATATCATTTGGGCTTGAAAAAAGGGAATCGGAGATGACTGAAATATGAGCTCTAAACACCTTCATTTTGACAAGTTAATTCTTTATTAAAAAGGTAAAGATTTGATGCTTTTGTCATATGCATGTATGTAAAATAATATACAAATCTATGTTAAAAAAAGCCAACCTACCCCTCCTCAAACTACGACCACCCCCAAGGCCCCTAAAAGTATGCAAAATAAAACCATGATACTTAGCTGCAAAACACTATACTGCAATCCTAAGATAAATACCGAGTTCTATTTCCTGAAAGAGTGCTACCTGGCTTGTTAAAATTTAGGCAGCTGTGCCCTGCAATATCCACAGACCTCTACTCATTTTAAGAAGAACGTGTATGGTTCTGGGACAAGCCCAACCATAGGCAAAAATATATGCAGCTTAAACCTTTAACAAAATGCGCCAATCCAGAGAAAGAGCTTTGTTTTTTAATGAATAGTTGCATGCAGGTATGTAATCAAGCAATGCCAATGCATACTCATAAAACATTATGCCTACATTAACAGAAGATACTAGTAGCAATATATGCTATCCATAGCTAAGATCAGAGCTATTTCCTGTTGTTGATGACCTAAATCATCAATCCAAATTAAATTAATTTAAATAATGACTCAGGAAGAAACTGCTGTAGGAACAAGCTATATCTACTATTCCCTTGGCTTGGGGGCTTAGCAAGTATTTTAGAAAATGCATTGGTTGTTTATATTCAGACAGAAAATGAGTGAGGAGAGTACCTACCTTTATCAGAAGACTGATCATCTGTAGTTAGCATGAAAGGCAGAGTTGGTATGATATTAAAAGACTGGCAAATGATTGAGTAAAATTAGAGGGAATGGAAAGGAAGGTTCTTCTGGTCTGATTTGCTTAACAGGCTTTTCTATCTTAAAAAAAAAAATAATGCAGTAATGTACCCTTATCAACTGATTAAAGACTTTTTTGCTAAAATTTAGTATTATAACCAGTTATCAGCTTAACTGTCTCGAGAACGTCTGACAAAAAGCCTAAGTAGCAATCCTTATTACATGCCTCCTAACATTGAATGTAATGGAAACTAGTTTGGAAAAGCTTCATTTAAATCAGTAATGCTATTTTATAATTTGGTTGAGCATCTTCCGTCCTCTTTGTAGCATAAGAATACCTGTATCTCCGTAAAAATACCTGTACCTCTTCATGAGATGTGCCATGCACCACAGGTCAGAAGTTCACTTATATCACTGAAGATGGACAATTTCCAGATTCCTAGTCTACATGAGGGTGGCACTCCTAGCACAATGGCTGGCTTCACACAGTCACAGGGCTGCCTCACACATCAGTAATAGCTGTGCTGAAGTACCCAAGAGCAACAGGAACATTATATTCTGGGATAATACAGAATGTCTTCTGCCTTTCATCACTTGACTAGCAACTTCATCACAAGTAGTAGTTTTTGTGGGTTTTTTTTCACTGACAGAGGCTTCAGAGCTGTAACGAAGAATCACTTTAAAGTCTACTTAAGACCAGCTCTGTAACGCTAAGCCTGAAATGCAGATGGTATTGCCAGCTCCAGTGATTTTTATCCTCCTTAAAGCTACAGTTTATTTTCATATAAGCTTAGAGTCATTTCATGCACCTATGTAAAAATTTCAAGAAACGTGCATTGGGTTACTTTTGCAGCTTTCAAGTTTCAAACCGTAGAAAAAATGTGAACACTAGCAAATTTTAAAGCTGCTAAACAATGTGTAAGGCCTCATGTTCTTGACAGTAGAGAGGGACAACCATGTTTTTTGAAAACAATAGGCACTAGCAACACTGGATAAAGCTCAAACCCAAATCCTCTTACGTGGCAGCTTGTATCCATGCAAATCAATCAATGACAGATTACACAACATATTCAAACACATCATTACTGAAAAATACTGAGAAGTTGGTTTCAACTAAGACATCACTGAAGGAACAGAACAGACTTACATAATGGTTTCTTCACAGTTCTGGGATTCTGCAGAGTGCCTATTGTTCTTCTGTAAGTCAATCGTCTAAATAGAAAATAATTATATTTTAGCCATGTAAGCTCAGAATTATAAAGAATTTATAGCATGTTACACATATAGCACTGAAAATAAAGAATGAAATTGTGCTTCTCCTTGAAAAATATAAGATGTCTCTGATTCAACGTTTTAAAAGACTTGTTCTTTAAAACTATGAGGGTCCCAGATTGCTACCGATAAGCGACTGAGAGAGAAGATTCTAAAACATTTTAGGCTTGCATACACCAGAGCACAGAAATCAATAGCACGTTACTTTTATCAATGTAATTTTTTTCTATTTCCTTTTCCCCACGCAATCTTTTTTGAAAAATTAAGAAAACAACAACTATTCTATTCTACTGTAATTCTGCTGAGAATCCAACTTCTATTTGCTATTTTTACAAAGGATGCGCAAAATTCCTGTCTGCCACAATCCTAAAACTACCAACCTCAAAGAGAACTCAAAAGTAGATGACCTTTGTCCAAAATGATCACTACAGCTATGCATACTCAGAAATTATCCATTGCCTTCCAGATCAGTTTGGAGTTTTCCATTATTTACTAGTAAACAAACCAAGTTACCCAGCTTGTGTGAAAATGTAAGAACAGAGTATCAAGTAAAAATTTTCTGATGTGTTAAAATCGTGAACCAGAGCTCAACTCCTAATCTCCCAGTCTTGAATTTGCTCAAAACACCCCCCACGCCAAAAACCCAACACCAAAAAAAACCCCCCAACAACCCAGCACAAAAATCCAACTCCCAAGAACCCCTCGCTGTTGGCAAAGGAAACCACATTTTTTTCCCAAGTGTTTTTTTTGCAACAGACCAACATTCATAACAGACTAAAGAAGGTGCTCAGGCATTTACGCAGTCTCTCGGGGGAAACAGACACTGAAGCAATTTCTATATTCTTGCATACATTGAAATGTAGTTTACAACATCTGAAAAAAAAAAGGACTGCAGTGCAGCCGCATCTGTTGACATACATGCATGCACAGGAAGAAGGACACAGCTGTTCAGGAAGAATTTGCCTAGTATTTCAAAGGAGCATTCATATAGTGGAGCGAAGTCCTCTATTAGAAACCTTATGCAAATCTTGAAGGCCAGCAATAGAATCAGACCCGTTTAATTCTTAGATACCCCACCTTTGTAACACCTACAATCCAAAGAAGACACATCCAGTAATTCGAAGTAAGAATCACACGAGACCAGTGGCCTAAAACAGATTCCTTCTTAAATATGACTTCTGTACTGTAAATACAAGACTTGAGGGATATTTTTGCTTTAGAAGATACACATATCTTGCTGTAAAAACAGAGAAACTTCAAGCTCTAGAAGGTATCCGGGTCCCAGCTAAATACTCTCTTAGGAGCCAGAAGATCAGATACGCTTTTTGACTACGACTACATGCATAAATTCAAAATTGTTACAATAAATCAGCATTTCCTCTTATACTATGGAAGTACAAGTCTGTGAAATACAGTGTCTCCATAAGCCAAGAGGGTCAAGAGACTGATATTCCACATTTCATTTCATTTCATACATGTTTGTTTAGCGAGTGCTTCTGTCCTCATGCTAAAAAGTGTAAGTCAATGGCAAACTAGCCAAGGAAAGCTAGGAAGTTTATTATATAATTGGAGAAGATGGAGCTTTTTAGCACTTTATATTACTCTCTCTATATATATTTTTAATATATATATAAA